GGGTCAGGGAACCGATTTTCATAGCTCTTGGAGTTGTATATTAATACTTGTTGGGGGCCGGCAGGTGGTGTGGTGGTTAAGAGCACTGGACTCCCATATGGCCGACTGTGGTTCGAGTCCTGGACCTGGTGGCTTATTTTCTCACCCACTCACCCCCATCAAATTAAAGTTAAATAAAATAATTTTTTTTATTTTAAATTTATTCATTTTCTACATTAATTCACTATACACCATCACAACACACAAATTAATTTTCCATCCAAAATACACTGTGCATTGGCTCAATCAATATAAAATAATTATTTAAAAAAAAAAAAACAACACTTCACTGGGGCTGACTCAGAGACAATAGGAAGACCCCTCACCAAGGGACTGTCTCTTGCCCAGCATACGAGGATACCAGAGGACATAATGGGGCTGAAACTGGGCATTGGGGTGCACAAGACTTGAGGAAGACTGAAAAATAGGAATCCTGGGACCAGCAGATAGCATAATGGTTACATCACTGGACTCCCATGTCGCTGACCATGGTTCGAGTCCCAGACCCAGCAGCTTGAAACTCAATGCTGGGCACGTGTGTGTGCCCAAAATCCCAAGAGGAGACTGGATGAGAAGGGATTGTGGTGTGGCCACCCCCTGGGGGGTGATTTCTGCTGTCTGTCTGTCCAGTGAGCACATGGCCCCTATAGCAAAAACCTCTCTCTTTTTATCCCCCCAAAAAAACTCTTAAAAAAAAAAAAGAGAGAAATGGGGGAACCAGCAGGTGGTGTGGTGGTTAAGGAGCTGGACACTCCCACATGGCTGACCATGGTTCGGAGTCCTGGAGAATTAGGAGTAAACACATGGTAGTTAATTACTCAACCATTGTGTGCTTGATTGATGGTCTCTAAACTTGGACTTGATTTGAAAGGCTTTACTGGTTATAGAATGATATTAAACTACCAGAGACCAGCAGGTGGCATGGTGGTTAAGGTGCTGGACTTACACACAGCTGATCGTGGTCTGAGTCCTGGACTTGGCAGCTTGTTTTCTCACTTTCCCCCCCTCTCCCTCTCTGGTGAGCATATTAAGGATTATTTTAACTTTGTTTATTTTTTAACTTGGCCAGAGAGAGAGAGAGTGAAAGAGAGAGCGAGTAAGGGAAAGTGAGAAAGCGAGCCGCCAGATTCAGGACTTGAACTACAGTCACTCATGTGGGAGTCCTGCACCCTCAATCACAATGCCACCTGCCAGCCCCAGTAGATAATTCTTCAAAAAGAAAGAAATCCTTTCATAAGAAAGTGCATAATGATGGACAACCCAGGTGTCCTGCCTCAAGGGTACTCAGCACCCAGGAGCCATAAAGAGACTAGGAGCAGCGGCCAGCAGGTAGTGTCGATAAGGCACTGGACAATTCCAGACGGCCAATCACGGTTTGAGCCCCGGACCAGGTGGCTTGCTTTCTCACTTTCTCTCTGGTTAAATTAATGAATAAATAAAATTAATAATTCTGTTTAATAAAAAAGATACTTTAGAAACATTCTGGAGTTGGGCGGCCTTTGGGTGAGTCCTAAAACCTTTTTTTTTTTTTTTGGAGAGATTTTCACTATAAGGGTGCGTGCGCTCGCCAGACAGAGAGAGACATAGAGACACAAAGTGAGAAATCACCCCCCAAGGGGGATGGCCACGCCGCAATCCCTTCTCCTCCATTCTCCTCTCGGGATCTTGGGCACGCACGCACACGCGCCCGGCATGAGTTTTAAGCCACCGGGTCCGGGACGCGAACTGCAGTCGACTACGTGGGAGTCCAGCAACATAGCCATTACGCTAACTGCTGGTTCCCAAGTCCTAAAACCTTCTAACCTTTCTGCTGAAACATCCAAAAGACTCTCCATTCCCTTGAGTGTATGCATTGGTAATTACCAGCTTCTAGCCCCTTGGACCCAGAAGCAGGGGCTAAAATGCCAAACAGACCTGCACATTCCCCTCTCCTTTATGCTTTCTCCACTCCCTTTCTGGTTGTCTCCATTCCCCACTGGGGACACCAAGGTTAGTGGGGGGTTCTGTTGACCATTTTCAGGTGCCTGTAGGCAAGAGCAGGCCCAGAGAAAACCTTTCTAAACCCTTGTTCCTGCCTCACATCCCCTGGCTGCTGTCCCCACATGACCCAAATAAACAGATGATCATGTGAAGCCAGTAAGGCTGTTTGTTTTAAATAGCAAGCATCTCCACTAAGCTCGGGAGCAGATGGGGTATTGGGGCAAGGATGAGGCCAGCATTCCAATCTGCCTTCACCCCACTTTATCTCTTGCTCCCCCACCCCTGGAGGAAAAAAGCTTCTTTGGAATACTTTTCAGAGAGTTGTCTACTTGTGATACAGAGCCAGCCCCTGAGGAGAAGAGAGAGAACGTGGGCTTCTTCTAGAAGAGACTCCAAGGCTGTCATGACTGCCAGAGGAAGGCCGAGAGGTACCCCAGGGTGTGGCACTCTGAGCAGAAGCTGCAGTGCTGAGCCCACACGGACTGAGCGCTGGGTCCATGATGTTCTGACCGGTCACTGTGGTGTATACTGTTCATCCCACCTCAGGTGTCACCTTTCAATTTTCCATTTTTCTCTAGTTGGGAAGAGTGGGCGAAGCCCAACCACAGGGACAGACAGCAAGGGGAGCAAAGTGGGGCTCAGCACAGACCTCCCAGGAAAGGGCGCACATCCCACTGAAACAGGCTATTGTGTTCTCACCCCTTTGCTCCAGCTTCATCACTAGCAAAGTCAGTGGGACATTTGGGCGTGTGAGGCTCCCTGCTCAGTTCCAGGTGTAGGTGCATTAAATGCCAACATCAAAGTCCCTGTAGACCAGGGCTGGCAAACAACCCCCTTCCTCTTGTTGGCGAGGTTCTTGGCTCCCAGGACCTCTGCAGGTTTTCTTTCCTTGGGATGCCCTGCGATGCCCTCAAGAGAGCAAAACCAGCAAGCATTCGTTTGTACCAGTTTGCCGTGCTGCTAGCTGCCTTCCAGTTAGTCCTCAGAACAGGGAACATACCCCTCTGAGGGCGCGGTGTTGATGGATGGACTGGAAGGGTGGCCGCCCTCATAAAGGTGGTTTTGGAGCCTTGGGGTCCTGAACCACTGTCATTACCCTACTCTCCTTGGACTGGTTAGCAAAGAGAAATATGGGGGTTTCACACCCAGAGTTGGGGCAGCAAAACCGTGTACTTCAAGCTGTCCCAAAGATTCCTTCAGCTGGCTGATGTCTGTCACCACCAACTGTACCAGTGGCTCTTGCTTGGTCTCTACCAAAGCTGGAACAGGGATTCTTCAGGCGAAGATTTCTGTTGCCCCAATTGCAATGTTCCGTGGTAAGATCCCTTCCCTTATAGGCGCTTTGATACCCTTCCTCTAGCTTTTTAAAACTGGGGAACCTGCACCAGAAAGCCCGTGGGGTCAAGGTTAAATGCTCCAAGCCACGGGAAAGAGCAGTTGAAAAGGCCTCATACAACTCCCTTCCGGAATTGGCCTCAGTTTTCCTTATCTGTTATGTGAGACCACTGAGGCCTAATTGTCTGATCCTACCCCAGGAGGGCAGGCAGGAGCGCCAGGCTGGGGTCCCCGCTCTCGCGGGGAGCAGGGTGGAAGCCCGAAGCAGTGACCCCACCCCCGCACCCCGCCCGCAGTGGCCGGTGTAGCCCAGCGGCTGGGAGCGCCCGGCTTCCGCCCTCCACGTTGTTGTTCCCGATTCGGGCCACGCCCCCTTCGCCTGGCTTATGGACGCTTCGCCTCAACCGCCCTCGTCCCGGCCCCTGAGCAACGAGTGGCCTCTGGGGTGGCACAATCGGGAGTCTCCACCCCTATCAGATACGCGTGGACAAAGACTAGAATTTAGGGGGAGAAAAGAGAAACACTTGGTTTTAAACGGATCGTGGGGAAAAGCAAAGGGTTGGCTGCGGGATTCCCCATTCGGTGTCCCACTCTGCATTCACTCAGTGGCCCCTTTGCGCCCGCGAACGTGACCCTGTAGACACTGGCCCTTTAAAGAGAAGGCTGGCGGCGCGGGGTGTCCATGTGGAGCTGCTCCATGCCGTGTTGTCCTGTCCGCCCATTGGCCTGCGGCCCGATGACGTCGCCTAATAGGATGCGAACGCACTGCGGGGGGAGGAACGGAGACAAAACGCGGCACCGGATCATCACTCCGCTGCCTCCGTCGGTTCTACAGCAGCCTCCGGCCGTCAGCTCCGCCCAGGGGCGGATCCCGGGGGAATTGCGACAACCGGGTGGTTGCGAGATTTAGGTCGCTTGTGAGTGGGGAGGGTAGAACCAGGGGTCAGACTGTCTGCCATATTAAGGTTTCCCTGACCTGGAATATCCTTATTTGAGCTAACTTAAGTTTTGGATTTTCCACCCTTCCTTCCCATCAGGAAGACAGATTTCGTCGTGAATGACCCAAATTCGCTACCTTTGCTCAACTTGTGGTTTGCCATCAGGGCGGGGCGAGGCAGGAAAGCGGAAACACAACGAGCAAACCTGGCTCGATCTTCTCCCACCCCCACCCAGGCCACGTGTGCGTGTGCCGTCTATAGTGGGCGGGGCCAGCCCGCCGGGACCCCGCCCCTCCTTCGTGAGA